AGCCCCACCACCAGACTGCAGACATTCACCCTACTGTTACCCTGATTAAAGCCATGGTTTTTCCCTTCGAGGATGTCAGCTCCTGCCTGGCACTGCCAGCTTTTCCCCAGATTCACAGCCACAGGTATCTTCAAGAGGTGTTTTTCTCCGTCTTGGATCCTCGCTGCTTTGGCAGCCCTTGACTGTTTTTGGCAGCCTTTCCTTTTATGCTGTTTCGGGTTACAAATGTGTTCTAGTTTTGCTGAAGTGGAAGCTTGTGTTTCTGTTTTTCTATCTCAAACATGAAAATGAGTAACTATTCTACTATCTTAAAACTGTCTAGCACAGCACATTTTTATGTGTTCTGGTATTCTCTCAAATCAAATATTAGCCAGAGCTCTTTGAATAGGGTTGACATCAGCCGAATCTGAGATTTGACAGTCAAAAAGAAAGAAAAGAATGCGAGTTGTGCATAAAATAGGAAGATTTAATAAGATACCCACAGTGTAACTGTCTGTGCAATATGGTGATAGGGGGCATCTTCCTTCACAGCTGAATACTGGCTAGGGTGAGCCACCATTAGGGTAGGAGGTCATTGACATGTAAGGCAATGCATGGAAAGTGTCCTGTCTCTCCATGTGTCTTACTTAGGGAAGTAGCTCAAAACCCAGCAGCTCTCTGACCAGAGTTGGGGTGAGAAGACATACCTCAACTCGGGGTAAGTTCAAGGTCAGTTCTGCAAGGTTCAGTTCTGCATTCCCCAAACCAGGGCCCTTCCAAGCAGTTCATATACCCTGGGTTCTGGATAGTCTTCCAGTGGCCAATTCTTCCTCCTTGAAAACTCGAGTCCTGTATTTGGGGGTGCTATCTGCGGTAAATGCTGTTACTGATGTTTGAAAAGCCAAAGAAGTATGGATGCACCCAAGGAGAAGATCCCATGGGTGACACCCAGACAACAGAGAGGAAGATCTGCCTGCAGAGTCCTTTATAGCATTGTTTCTTGGGTTCTTGTTTTACTGATGAGGAATCTAGAGTCTCAGAGAGGCTTACAGACAGAGCTAATGGGTGGAGAGAAGGATTTGGATGCAGTTGTATCTGGATCTAGAGGTTGGTTCTAGCTCCCTTACCTTCCTTTCCAGCCCCATTCATTTTCCCAAAAAGAGAGGACCCCCATCCTCAGATGATTGCTTTATGTGCATTTCCCTGAGTGACCCCACTGGACCCTTATTCTGGGTCTTGCTTCTCAAGCCCGACTATGACCGGAGCCGCGGGAGACAGGAGGCCAGACTTGAGCAGGATCAGCTCTCAAAGTTTATTGCATACAGCGAACCGGACCTAACAAGGTCCGCCACCCTCAACATTGGTTCCTCTTCTGCCCGTTAGGGGCAGGGACAGTCTCTTATAAGGGAAAACAGCATCCAATCATAGCAAAGCAAGCCTAGCAAGCTAATAGGCTAGCGTCATCGGTAGCTGGGCAGACGTGGCAATTTGGCGGGCTTGTTTGGGTCGGGAAGAACCCGGAAGCAGGAAATGGGCGCCATCTTAGGGGACCGGTCAGGCGGCTCCCCACATCTCCCCCTTTTTTATTTATTTGAAAATGTGATGTCATGTGGGTCCCTCTAGGGTGTTTATAATCTTGTTATTGTTGGACACCTTGGAGCGGGTCTACTTTGTAGGCCGAGGCATGAGAGAATGTAGAGGTCTATACCCTGCTGTGCATCACCTCGTTTTGTGCATATCCCCCCGGTAGGACCATGCTCAGGGTGAGTGGTTCATTTTTTTGCAGGGCCAGGCATATGTGAACCGAACCTGGATGCATATAGACATTCATTCATGCCTTACCCCCAACCTTTGAGGCGGATGGCACTGCAGTACCCTTGGTCTCGCATCTCAATGCCAATAATTTGGCTCCAGGAGGGACCCCTGGCCTTAAAGGCCATATATATCTGAGTGGAGCCTATCTTAGGTTGACCAGGAGGACGTCTCCCGTCTTACCCATCATTGGCTTGCCCACTCAGCTTTTATAACTGATGTTCTGCGACATGAAGGAGATATGCGGCGGCCTGTCGACCCGATGGGCCGCCCGCTGCCATTTGCATGGCTGCCATAGCCGTGACCTTGACCTGTTGCTGGGTTTGCATAAGGCGGTCTAACAAGCATTTGATAACCACAAGCCCTACTAGGATAGCCATGGCAATTAGGATCCAAAAAGAGGTAATCGTGGGACAGAAGGAAGAAAAATGGAGGGTCGACCGGAGTTAAGCGGGTGGGTCATAATCAAGGACTGTTTGATTGATGGTGTAAACCCTGGGTGAGGCGGGCGAGGCCACTGAAAAAGGTGCCAATGTGGGCGGGTGGTGCCAAGGACCCCAAAGATATTGTGGTGGTTCTGTGGAATCTGAGCATATCACAGGGGTGATTAATAGGAACCCACAGAATAGAAAAAACTCCAAACCAGACATTTTAGTTTATAGATGGTCTCGGGCGCTGAGCGTCGGTCCCAGAGGGTCGAGTTGACTTGTGTCCGTGGGCTTATCCTCCTGTGCTTTATCAGGAACTGGTGGGGAGTTTACTGCTCGCGTCAATCTTTCCGGGACCCACAGCGGCTCGCGACCTGGTTCCTGTGGGAAGACACAAACCGCACCTCGGGTCCAGCTAACCACTGGATCCGGGCCCATCCATTGTCCTGTAAGGACATCTTTCCATCTAACCAGCCCTTTGTCGGTTGGGGACGGATTGCTATGTTCCATGGCAGGGGAATGATTATTGTGGTTTAAATTGAGAAAATTTATGGTAAAGAGTGCCAATGATATTCTTCCTTTGGGCGTTAGGCCGTGGCCTATCCCCTCTTTTTGCTTTTGTAAGACACCCTTGAGTGTCCGATGTGCCCGTTCAATGATGCCTTGTCCTTGAGGGTTATATGGAATGCCATGCTTAAGGACAACATCCATTTGTTGACAGAATGTTACAAAAGTTTTGCTGGTGTAAGCAGGACCATTGTCTGTTTTTAATATATTGGGCTTTCCCCAAGCAGCCCAGGCTGCAAGACAATGATTAATAGCATGGGTGGCCCTTTCTCCAGGTTCTGCCGAAGCAAACATAACCTGAGAAGCGGTGTCAACCGAAACAGGTACATATTTGAGTTTTCCGAATTCTGGGATGTGTGTAACATCCATTTGCCAAATATGATTGGGGCGCAGTCCTCTCGGGTTAACACCAATAGATTGTTGAGGTGAAGAGATCACACAGGCCGGACAATGTCGTACTATGTCTCGTGCTTGTGCTCTCGTGATGTTAAAGCGCGCCACAAGGGTGCGGGCATTAACATGGAACTGAGAGTGGAATTTTTGGGCCGATTCTAGAGGACTGGGAAAGGTGAAGATCCATACTGGGCGCGTGGCCAAGTCCGCCAAGGCATTACCTTCCGCCAAGGGTCCAGGTAGGTTAGTGTGAGCTCTGATATGTGAAATGAACATTTTTGAGGTCCTACTCCATAGTAGATGTTGAATACCTCGGAATATGGAGGCTACCGTCGAAGAGGGTTTGATGGGACCTGCCGTCTCCAAAACTTGGAGAGCATTTACCACATATTTGGAGTCTGACAGGAGGTTAACGTCGCCTGGGAAGCGACGTAAGACCTTGTATAATTTTTGTAAGGTGACCCGTATGTTCTCCCTTTGCAGCCAGCCATCTCCAGGCCTGGAGGCCACAGCGGCTAATTTGTTCATAAACCTGGCGAGGGTATTGAGTTTGATCTTCCTCAAAGGCTCCTCGCCCTAATAGCATATCCCTGTTCCACTCTCTCTGGTTATTTTCCCTGTTGGCTGCCGCCTGCTCTACACAGAATTCCTCATTCCAGGACTTCCAATCTAAATATTGTCCGGGGGAGAGGCAGGCGCGTGCCAGCTGGGTCCAATCTCCAGGAGTTAAAAGCAGACCTGCCAATGCCTCTAAAAGCGCCATGGTATGCAAAGGGAAAAAGAAAGGAAAAAAAAAAAAAAAACCGGCGTCCACTCGTGTGGCACTCAAAATCTGTTAGGTGCGTCCACCCAACCCAGGTGATCCAGTACTCACCTGTCCCGGGAACCACTGTATCTCACGTAGCTGATCAGGGTGAAGAGAAGAGGCGCTCAGGGCCTTCCGTTGTTATTGGGCCAGGTCCTCCGTTGTACCGCAGGCGACAGCAATCGCACCTCCCGGCCGAAGAGGCACGTTGCTGAGCCTTTTATCCCCGTACGGGCCACCAGATGACCGGAGCCGCGGGAGACAGGAGGCCAGACTTGAGCAGGATCAGCTCTCAAAGTTTATTGCGTACAGCGAACCGGACCTAACAAGGTCCGCCACCCTCAACGTTGGTTCCTCTTCTGCCCGTTAGGGGCAGGGACAGTCTCTTATAAGGGAAAACAGCATCCAATCACAGCAAAGCAAGCCTAGCAAGCTAATAGGCTAGCGTCATCGGTAGCTGGGCAGACGTGGCAATTTGGCGGGCTTGTTCGGGTCGGGAAGAACCCGGAAGCAGGAAATGGGCGCCATCTTAGGGGACCGGTCAGGCGGCTCCCCACACGACTACATTTTAGGATGCTTGTAACCACACCTTAAATGCCCCGCCCCATCTTGGCAACCTACCTCTCTGGGCCCAGTCCTTATTTGTAAAATGATTACCTATGATTGCTCTAATGTACCACACAGACTCGGAAACCAGATGGCCTTGATTCGAATCTTGGCTCAGTCACTTACTAGCTATGGGACTTCTGATTACTTACCCTTGCTGTGCTCTGTAAAATGGTAATAACAACATTCATGTTTTCTAGGGAGGTCTTATGGATTAAGTGAATTAATCCAAATCATTTAGGACAGTGTCTGACACATGGTTTAAATGCCACTAGTTTAAATGGCAGGTATGAAGATATTAATTACTTATTATTAGGATGATGCATTCAATGAGCTTGGCCAAAGAATGGGCATAAATGAAAGGATGAATAACTGGAGGTCAATAACCCATGCCCTTTGCTTCCTTCCAGGAGCTTGGGCCCCTGCCACAGCCCAGTAGAGGCTGTAGAGGTCAACAGTCCGGAATTCCCTGTCCTGAGGTCCACCCCTGGTTGTGGGGAGTGGAAGTTCCAGCGAGGTAGCAGTGGCCTGCTGCGGCCCTCTCTGCACGGCGAGCCATGGGCCAGAAGCTCTCAGGCGGCCTCAAGTCAGTGGAGGTGCGCGAGCCGGCGCTGCGGCCGGCCAAGCGCGAGCTGCCGGGTGCAGAGGCCGGGCGGCCCGCACGTCTGGACCAGCTGCTGGACATGCCGGCCGCAGGCTCCGCGGTGCAGCTGCGGCACGCGTGGAACCCAGAGGACCGCTCACTCAACGTCTTTGTCAAGGATGACGACCGGCTCACCTTCCATCGGCACCCAGTGGCGCAGAGCACGGACGGCATCCGCGGCAAGGTGGGCCACGCGCGAGGCCTGCACGCCTGGCAGATTGACTGGCCGGCGCGGCAGCGCGGCACGCACGCCGTGGTAGGCGTGGCCACGTCACGCGCCCCGCTGCACTCGGTGGGCTACACGGCGCTGGTGGGCAGCGATGCCGAGTCCTGGGGCTGGGACCTGGGCCGCAGCCGCCTCTATCACGACGGCAAAAATCGACCTGGCGTGGCCTACCCGGCCTTCCTGGGGCCCGACGAAGCCTTTGCGCTGCCCGACTCGCTGCTAGTTGTGTTGGACATGGATGAGGGCACGCTCAGCTTCATCGTGGATGGCCAGTATCTCGGCGTGGCCTTCCGTGGCCTCAAGGGCAAGAAACTGTACCCGGTGGTGAGTGCTGTCTGGGGCCACTGCGAAGTCACCATGCGCTACATCAATGGCCTTGACCGTAAGTGTGAAGTGTGCTAGGCTAGGAGGGCTGGGGGCTGGCGGGTACGTGATCCTGGGGAAGGTGGGTTGGGGAGAAAAGACACAGGACAGGTAGGTGAAGCAGCAGCTGGGATGCTTCTATAGCACAGAGTGGTGGTTGGGACCTGAACTTGAATTTTTCCTCCTTGTAGGCTTGGTGATTTGGAACTGGGCTTCAGTTTTCCTATCTGTAAAAATGGCATGGTAAGGAAAAATAGCTAGGACTGTCTGAGGATCAAATAAGATAACACAGTATATGTGCTCAGAGGATTAATTGGCATCTAATAATATTTTGTGTGGTAATACTCATTATAGATCTTTCAGGCTATCTAGGAATGTACAGAATGACCCAAGGTAGAGCAGGAGACAAACAGGAAGACACTGTCACTGGACTGAGATGCCATCCACTGTAGTTACTGATGAGTAACAAGCTATGCACATAACAACTCTTTCTTACTGTATACGCGGGACTGAACCCCGAAGTTCCATGTTTCGCTGGTAAGCCATCCATTAAAGGAGGCAGCATCCTCTCGTCTCCAGCTGTTACCTCATGGGAATGAAAATTCTGGGTTGTGGAGTTTTTGGTTTTTTCTAAGAGTACCCCCAAAAATCTAGATTGTACGAATTGTCCCAGTTTTTAAAGTGAGCAGCTGCCAAAAACTTTGGACAAGCAGGTCACCTTTGCAGTTTGCAGACAAACCTACAGGATTGCCAAGTTTGGCCCCCTGAAAATGCTAAGATGTTATTTAATATAATATGCACAACCATCCTGTGAAACAATTTAAAAATCATAGTATCACAAATGATTATTTTAGGAAGGAGTCACTTGGGGATGCAGAGTGGCCTTCAGCTGCAATGTCCTGCCTTGAATGCCAGCTTAGCAGGGCCACAAGTCAGGCACCATGACTGTGGGCTTGCTCAGTTCCACACACCAGCCACTACACCTGCTGACTTCCTGTCACACCCTCCTGAAACTGAAGACAGTGCTCACCACCAGCATCCCACTCTATTCATTTAGTTTTAAATGAGAGGTGAGAAAATGCTGGTGAGGCAGCTTGCACCTCTTGAGAGATGAGAAAATGAAAAGCAGAGTTACAGAGTCCACCCCAAATCTGTTGGCTTCCAAAACTAACTCTTTTTCCAGTGTTCCTTCTTAGGCTGAGAAGCTGATAATAATGCTCAGAAAAGAACTCAAGGAAAAACACTAACTCGTGGGAAATTCGTATTTGTTTGAGCAAGGGCGGGTTGATGGTTTTCAGTGGTGACAGGCCAAGAGAAAAGTAATTGGCACACTCAACCCTTGGGTATAATTGGTGACATTCTTGTTTGCTTTTATTTTCATAGTTGCTGGACTAAGGTTGCTGTTGATGGCTAGTGTTGCCTCATTTTCTCTATATAACTGGTTAATTCTTACAGCGGATAACGAGGTCCTGAGAAGGGATGAGGTAGTCATCTCAGTGTCTTGTGGAAAGAATCTGAAGTGCTCTTACACATAGTGATCAGGCAAACCCCCATGGTAAGAAAATACAACAAACACTATGTCATGGAACTGGAAAGTTTACTTGTTAAAATTGATCACTGGACCAGAAGTGACCTTACCATACCAAGGGTCTGGAATCTGATGAGCCTTATTTCCAACTTTGTCTACATCACTGAGTGGTTATGTGTCTTTGGTGAGTTACTCTAACTCCCTGAGACTCAATTTATACATCTGTAAGATGGGACAGTTTTAGGTCTCTATCTTAGTTGTGGTATTATTTTGAATGTTGGCACCAATATGATAGCCAAGATGAAACGCCTGACATTGATCCTACTAGGAGCTACCAAAGCCAACAATGAGGCTTCCAAAGTAGGCTTCTTTTTGGCTATGAATTCATATCAATCTGTTACTTGATTTTCACGTACAACACTCAGGTTCTAACAAGGTTGCATCAGTGACTCTCTCATGAATGTTACAATAGGAGCATCTCTTCCCTGGTGTACTTCTCAGGGAGATGGAGGTCAGGAAGGCGATTATGTTCTGGACATGGGGTCTTTCAGGCAATAGAAGAAGTGTAGTGGGACTGAAATCTTCAGTGTTTTACCTTCCTCTCCACCGTGTGATTTTTCAGTTAGGCAGAATTTGTATTGCAAGGAAAGCCAGGAAGGACGCTTTGTGCTGCAAGTCTGTGACATCACCCGTTTGATGACACCATCAGCTTGTTGCGTGTACTCTAGTCTACTCTCCAGACAGGAACAACAGCCACTATCTGGCTCACTGGGTCAAATAGGGCCAACTGGCAAGATGATCTGGGCAGATGTGTGAGTGCTCAGCTTGGCACAAGCCCTGACCGGAGGGTAGACTGTAGGCCAGAATGCAGTGCAGTTCAGGGGTGGGTGATGACTGGGAAGGGACTATGTAATGCCTGTAGTAGGTGATCCAGGCTAAAGGTCACCATGAATCCCTGGGGACTGAGAATAGGTTGGCCCTGGGGTGATTCAAAGTGGAGATTTGTAGATGAGAAGAATTTTCGGCCAACATTGTTTGTGGATATGGTAGAAGGATTCCAAACCCAGACCCAAATGGGGTACAGGGGGTCAGAGTCAGAGACATCCTGAGAGCAAAAAAGAAGGTGGGCTATTCCCTAGGATTGCTTCCCCAAAAAATCATGATAGGAGAGTTCTGCACAAGGGCCTGCAGTGCAGATTAAGGTTGTGCTCTGTCCACAGTATTCAGCAGGAAGCCCCAGGCAATTCTCCTCTTAAACTCAGGATTCTCCTTTGTGAAATGGAGATAATAACACCCAATAGCACCCGAGCAGACGCATAGCAGATAGGGCCCCTTGGTACGATGAACTAGGTGAAGTGAGGCGGATTCTGGGGTTCACCTCTGGGATAAAAAAAAAAAAGTGGCTTTCACAGAGGCTTTTAAGTAAATTAATGGATATCACTTTTTCAGTTTCGGAATTTTTATGACTACAAAAGCGTGACTTAGAAAGGTTACCGCACTGAACTCTGAGGCATGTGTTTGTTGAGGACAGGAGCTCCTGGCAATGCAATTTTCTGTTGCAATTACATAAAGTTGTTGAACCTTTTGCAAGTGGAATTGTTCTTAAGCTATGTGAAGGAAGGAATTGGCTCAGCATCTGGGACTTTACTGCAAAGAGCTGCAGATCCAAGGGCTCTGCCCTCAGAGTGAGCTGAGAAGCATAGAACCAAGTCTGGACAAGTGGATAAGCTGTCTCAAATTGTCCAGAGCAGTAATAATAATAATAATAATAGCAATAACAGCAACACTAGTTAGCACTTATGTAACCACTCTTAAAGCTAATACCTGTATTATAATCTTCAGTTTACCATGAAGATTTTGAGGCACAGAGAGCTTGAGTAAGTGGCTCAAAATTACACAGCTTGGAACTCTGTAACTGGCCTAGTGAGGACTTCATGGAGACATTTACAGACCAGGCAAGGATAGAAAGACCAGGAGAATCGGCTCCACCTCGCTGTGTGGCAGTGCGGCAGAGGGCTGACCCTGCCTTCCACAGCCACAGCTTGGATAAGGACCTGACATGCTGTCCCTGTTGTGTTTCCTCCTCCACCCCTTCATCTCTAGCCCTCAAAGCCCTTGGCTTACCGCAGAGCTCTGCAGGGTGCTCTGAAAAGCTAAGTTGTATAAAGACAGGCCCAGCTGTGGCTGTGAATCAGGCATGGTTGATCGCTAATGGGGGAATGTCTCTGCAAATGTCCCGACTGCTGCGAGGTTCAGCCCTTGGAGTGGGGTGGGGGTGGGGGCAGTGTGCGGGCCTTAGGAATCTGCTAGGCTGGTTTCCAGGATTTCTCCCTGGCTCCTCTTTCCACATGTTGGTGGCCGAGAGGGCGGATTCAAGGGCTTTGTCTCCCATCTTGAGTTCTTGGGTGGTAAGTGGTGTGTGAGTGATAGCAGATGGGAAGAGCCCAAATAGAGATAAAGGGACCTGGGGTCCCTAGCAGCCTCATGTAGGATTGTTAATGATCATGTTTTTTGTAGAAACCACCCATATTATGTGCCCTGAGCTGTTTTACTCTTTTTTTTTTTTAACTTTTAGCCTCAATAAGTTTTTGAGGCGCTATTACTGTTATTAACCCAGTTTTATAGGTGGGGAAACTGAGTCTTGGAAAGGTGAAATATTGGCCCAAAGCCACACAGCTGGCAAGTACCAGCAAGGTTGTGCTGAAGTGCGGTAGGACCCATTCCTCTGCCCAGCCCCCGCAGGCTCTGTGCTACCCTCTGAGGCCCAGCCTGCCCTGCCCTATCTGCTTCAGCATTGCTGGACCCCGAGGAGGGCCCATCACACTCAGGGCTGGCTTTGGGCTATGAATGGAATTGCAGGGACCTTGGGGCTGGGAAGGCCTGTCCACCTGCACCAAGCAAAGGAAGCTACATTTCCAGACATTGTTCCTGGATGGTTTAATTGATCTGCCAACAAGTATTTATTGGCATAATAGCACAGTGGAGGAGTCTGGCAGTCAGCCAAAGCTTCTGATATTGATGAAGGCCAGAGTTTTCTGCCAGGACGCTGCAAGGACACCACCCCCTTGTGAGAGTGTCTTCCGGCTTAGCACAGAACCCACCAGCTTTCTGCTCTGTGTCCATGCACTTCAACAGGACAGTGAAGTGCTTTCACCTCTTGACATCTGGACTAGCTCCTCGGAGGCACCCAGGTCCACAGCTGGTGTCCTCTTTGTCCCTCCCCATGTTACTCTGTCCTGATCCCAGCGCACTCCAAGCCCTATCTGTGTCCTTGCAGCCTCAGCTTAGAACTGAGTCTGCTGTGCCTATGCTCCCATTCACTCGTTCCTCTGAAGTGAGACAAAGTCCTCAGGCAGGGACTCCGTATTTACTTTTGGAAGAAAAGCTGTGTATTTGGTAACCAGCTCAATGCTACAAAAATTGCACAGTGAGGTAGCGCCCCCCCATAGGCCAGCTCCCCAGCTCCCCCTCCATTAGCATTTTCTTGCATG